TGCTGTGCCAGGTGCAGGGTCTGCTGGCTGGGTGCTGGCAGGCTTGCACCTGGCACGGGCACCATAGCCAGCCCGTGCCCCTTTAAGGGCTCCGGGGCCGGGAGGGGGGCAGACGAGTTTCCCTAGTGGTGCCCAGAGTGGCCACTAGGGAAAGCTGGGGAGGGCTAGCCTCCCACTAGTTGGAATTAAATGGCTACACAGCCCTTAATTCGAACTGCTTAATTTGAACTAGGCGTTAGTCCTCGTAGAATGAGGTTTACCTAGTTCGAATTAAGCGCTCCGCTAGTTCAAATTAAGTTCGAACTAGCGGTTTGTATGTGTAGCGCCTATCAAAGTTAATTCGAACTAACGGCTGTTAGTTCGAATTAACTTTGTAGTGTAGACATACCCCTAGTGCTTAAGAACCAGAAATTGAGTGACTAGAAATGAAAGTGAAACTGAATTTTATTAGCAAAGCTTGACCTGAATGAAATGAATGTAAGCAAGTAACCAGTCTAAATAGTGCTAGGTAAACCAGAGCTCTAAAACTTTTTTTTTAAATTTAAATTATGATGTTTAACCAAAAGTTCCTTAAATCTTGTGGTCTCTCTGAAACAGTGAAATTACTCTATAAACAATATTTGTGTATAAAAACACTTTACATTTTATTCTAGATCTACCAATCCTGGCTGGACAGATCTACTCCATATACAGCAGTACGATGGGTTGTAACTCTGGGTCTGAGTTTTGTCTACATGATTAGAGTTTATCTACTACAGGTAGGAAAATGAAAATTATTGCATTTGTCATGCTGTTAAGAATAACACTGTTACTTAAAATATTAATTTTTGTTAGACTGAATAAAATATTTCACTAAAACACTTGCTAAGAAATATGTTTATATGAATAGACATGGAACAAAATAATTTCAACATAGAAAAAAGTTTTTGAATGAACAGATTCTTAAACTAGCAACTTCCCCCAATGTCATGGAGTAATAGTCAAGTACATATTAGGAATGTTAAATTTCAATTAATCAGCTAATCGAGTAGTTGATGGAATTTCACAGCTCTTACTACATTTAAAAGGCAGAAGAGCAGCAGGGAAGCTGGGGCGAGCGGGGACTCAAGCAATCCCCACTCGCCCCACATTCCGACTGCTGCACTTCTGCCTTTGCAATCTAGCAAGATCCCTGCGGACCCTGCTGTTTCCCCACTGTGCCTGTGCCTCCCCTGCCTACCCATCCCCAGCCCAATGGGACGGGGGAAGTGACTAGGTTATGTTTATCAGGTAGTCGACTAGTCACTTGCATCCCTAGTACATACACATGTCTGTTTTAGCTATTCTCTTTTCCATAGGAAAAATAATCACAACTTTGGTATGGTGTAAAGTGAAAGTGTACTGTGTTTTTACTCCAATTAATAGCAATAGTAATTTGAGCTGCTACATATACATAAACTGTAGGCTGAAACATAATCTGGAAAAGGATGGTTAAGACTGCTGTTTTGTAGCAGACAGAGGGAAGCACTACTGCCATGTTCTAATGAAATTGCATAATAAACTTCTGAAAACTCTCCATGTTTTAGCTTCCTGTTTGCATCTCATACAGGGACCAGCAGTCCTCTCATAGCTCCTCTACACTTTATAATTTACAATGTCTAAACTACATTTCAAGGCTAACTAAACTTTCAGATTTTTCCTGCTTTGCTTATGTGTCCTCTAATTCATAAGTCACTTTTTTTTACATAGCTGTAAGCAAAAGCAGCTAGAAACATTCCATAGTAAATTTTAGCACAATCTATTATAGTAAGAAATACTAAACAAAAAGAGCAGTTGAGTTATAGGATCCAACTATCAAACTGGATCATATATTTTTTAAAAAGGCACCCTTTTTATTCATCTGTGTGCGTGTGCATGTTTGTTCGTTCTCCTCTTGAGATGTCTTAGCAGGTTTTATGTCCCCCTAGGGTTTCACATTTTAATTTATTTATATAATATATAGTGTGTTTAAAATTTTGTAAGCTACCATGAATATTTTAAATAGAGTGGGGCAAAAATATTTTAAATAAATAATACTTAGATTTAATGCAAGACGAGTCTTTCGCCCATTGTACATCAGCTGTTAAAACTGAGTCCAGAAAACTTTTGACTTGTAGATAAAGTAATTAGGGGAAGATACTAAAACCAGGATAAATGTTTTTGTCTTAGTCTTGATAAACAAGTATTTGAAGCTATTTAGTGAGAAGTTTTCAGTCTGACTTTTTTTTCCCCCCCCTTTCCTTTCCTAGGGTTGGTACATTGTGACATATGCCTTGGGAATCTACCACCTAAATCTCTTCATAGCTTTCTTGTCGCCAAAAGTAGATCCCTCTCTAATGGAAGACTCAGGTATAGCGGACATGACTCCCATTGCTATAATTTTGAATATAAACTAAACTATTCTCCAAATCACTTTACCAGTTTCACATATCTTCATGTGAGCAGACATCTTCAGGAAGAGAAGAAAATCCTCAATAGCGAGAATGGAGTTTGAATTTAAAAGTTGTGCTTTAGTAATTATTTGAAAACTAGAAATAATTGAGTCCTTAATTTTTTGCGGTTGTTTTTTGGAAAATAAAATGAAAATGTACATGCTTCATTTAAATCATTGCTTTGGGGGTGGGACTGGGGATGAGGGGTTCAGTATGCAGACTGTGCTAGGGAGAAAGAGGACTACTCCAGCCCTTTCACTGCAGCAGCTTGTGGCAAGGTGAGAAGCACCTCTCCGTGGCTAGCTAAACTTGTTTTTCCCAGCAACATTCAATATAGCAAACAGCTTGGGAATTTATTTGTTAAAGCACACTAATAAGGCAGAGAAAGTCTTAAAGTATGGTGCTTTGCAAAGCAAATTATTTATTAACCAGTTGATCCACATTGTTTTTCATACATATCTATATTTTCATCTACATCATTTTCTCCCAATACACAGTTTTCCCTATGTTGATTCATTCTTGCCACTAGCCCTGCATCATGATTTTGCACTGCTTACACTTGACACATTTTCCTTTTTACTCAGTGAATTAATGTCTTCAAAATATTCCCAGATAGGGTTGGTCTGATGCCCAGAAGCCAAGAACTTTCAAGAAGCAAGAGTTGGTAGCTGGAGATGATAGAGCCATTAATTCATTTTTATGAGATTATAAGTATGGGTGTAGCATGTTTGTGATGAGATTTAATTGTAACTTTTTAAATTAGAAATGTAGTTGTTATTTTTAAAAAATAACAGTCTGATTTAAATTTTAAAAAATTTATTTTTTTGGTTAAAATTGTTTAACCCACCCTGCAATCTGTCAGATCCTAGAATCCTGACTCCCAGCTCTGCACTTCAACTGTATCCACAAAAGCTTCTGTATAACTTTAATAATTTGTTACTGTCCAAAACAGGTTGCACATTGACTGTTCTGTGAATACTTAGAGGAATTAAATAATAGATATTTTTCTCCTATAGGTTCTTCCTTGACATTGCTTATAAATGATGGCATGTGTAGATGTATAACCTGTCTGTTTCCACTGATAAGGACTGTGGGGCTTTAACATGTCCTCAGATGTTCACTTCCTCAGAGTGAAATTTTTTTTGGAAGGTTGGAACTACGTTCCATATTGCATTAATACTCTGGACTTTTCTGGAGATCTGGGTTCAAATGTGACATCAGTCTCAAAACAAATATTATTTGATCAAGCATTAGCAAGATGTCCTTCCTTGATCAGGATTACACTTGCAAAAAGCTCTTCTATTCTGTAGCTAGGCTTTGAGAATAATAGTGATAATCGGGTATTTTATTTGCTATTTTTTGCTTTTTTTATCCAGATGATGGTCCTTCATTACCCACAAAACAAAATGAGGAATTTCGACCCTTCATCAGAAGGCTGCCAGAGTTTAAATTCTGGTGAGTGGATACATAAGTCTGTTTTTCTTAAAATAAAAAGCATTTACATGAATGTGTCATAAGACGCTTCCAGTGTGTGGAAGGGATTTAATTATGCCTTTTATTTTTAAGGCATTCTGCTACTAAAGGCATTCTTGTTGCAATGGTATGTACGTTCTTTGAGGCTTTCAACGTTCCGGTGTTCTGGCCAATCCTTGTGATGTATTTCATTATGCTGTTCTGTATCACTATGAAGAGACAAATCAAGGTAATGTGCTGAGATTGGATTGAATCTTCTGAAGATAAACTATCACTGCTTAAAAGTGTTTTTCCATGTTGCTAGCCAAGGAGCACTGTGGATGTTTATCTGTGGGTATAGTATGGCCAATTTTTTTAAACTTAAGTACCTAATCTTAGGCAAACTGTAATTGGAAATATAAATGTTCAGTATTCCTGAAAATCAAATTAGTTTAAACACCTAGACCTGAAATTGTTAGCCCTCTTACATTCATTCTTCAGAGGATTCTGAGCTAGCCAAATAATACCTTCTGAAGTAAAATTTGGTGTTTATGATGGATAATATGCAGCATTCATCCAGAGCATTTCTGCATTATAATGTGCAGACTGTTGGGATCTCACATTGGTGATGCATATTGTGAAAGACAAATGCAGCAAAATAATTCAGGTTGGCTTTTGTATATTTTCTATAGCTTGTTTTCTTGTAAATAGAAATTTAAAAATAAAAATTTCAAAATGCCACATTCTGAATTTAAGTACAGGTTGGACCTCCCTGGTCCAGCACACTCAGGACCTGACCAGTCCCGAACTAGGGGATTTGCCAGACCAGGGGAGGTCTCTCCCCTACTAGCCCATGCTAAACCACTGCTGCTCCACCCCCCTGGATTCTAGTTCAGGAGCATCTGAGGTCCTGATGGACCACGGATATTGCTAAACCAGAGAGTCCCAGTTAAAGGAGGTACAACCTGTAGTACAGTAATTCCTCATTAACATGTGCCCGCTTAACACGTTTTTGCGATAGCACGATTTTTTTAGGGAATGTTTTTCAGTTACACAACCGTCCCCAGAATAACACGATTTCCCCAGTTGGCCCATTGCCGGCGGCTACGCGGAGCTTCCCCCGCCTCCCTGCAAAGTGGTGGAGGGTTTGCCACTTGCCGCGCCGTTCCCTGCTGACTCCCCCTCTTCTCCACCCCCGCTTGCAGGCTGGCGGCTGGGTTTCCCCAGCTGGCCGTCGCCAGCAGCTGCATGGGGCTTCTCTCGCCTCTCTGCAAAGCAGCAGAGGGTTTGCCACTCACTGTGCCGTTCCCTGGCAACCCCCCCTTGCCGGATGCAGTGCGGGTCCCGACAGACCCTTCACAGGGGCATACTCCGAACTTAATTCTCCTTCCCTCTCCTTCCCTTCTCCAGAGCCAAACTCCTTCCCTCCATGCTGTAACCCAGTCTCCTTTTTCCCCCCAACCTCATGTCCCGGTCCCAACAGACACCACTGCTTGAAACGCAACCCCCACCTTTTCCATTATTTTCAGTGGGAAAATTGACCCTGCATAACACGTTTTCACTTAACACGATCATTTTCTTAAACCTATCTATAATGTATTATATTAATATGTCTCTGCTGCTTAATCCTTTAACCATCTTGACTGTATTATACCGTATCTTTTTTTGATACAGACTCTTAAATGAGGTTGGTTAAAGAGTTTTGGAATCTCATGACTGGTGTGGAAAAAGTGAATAGGGAAGAGTTATTTATTTATTCCCACAATATAAGAACTAAGGGTCACCAATAGAAAATAATAGGCAGCAGGTTAAAAACAAACAAAAGGAAGTTTTTCTTCACTCAGTGCAGTGGAACTCCTTGCCAGAGGATGTTGTGAAGACTAGGATTTTAACAGGGTTCAAAAAAGAGCTAGATAGGTCCATCAATGGCTATTAGCCAGGATGGGTAGGAATGGTGTCCCTAGCCTCTGTTTGTCTGGAAATGGATGACCAGAGAGGGATCACGTGATGATTATCTGTTGTGCTCACTCCCTCTGGGGCATCTGGCATTGGCCACTGTTGGCAGACCGGATACTGGGCTACATGGACCATTGGACTGACCCAATATGGCCATTCGTTCGTGTGTGTGTGTGTGTGTGTGTGTGTGTACACTAATACAGAAAAAAGTGCCATTTAAATCTTTTGTGTCGCTTGTGACTGAAAATAGCATCATAAGAGAACATTAACATACATCTTATCAGTTTTAAACTAGTGAATATACTTTAGAGCTTTGCATATTGTGGCTTAATTTGCATATTATGGTGTTTTGATAGAAATATTAGATTGTCAAACAGTTCTATTTAGCAGCTAAACTGATATCTCTTTATTTACAGCATATGGTAAAGTACAGGTATATACCCTTCACACATGGCAAGAGGAAATACAAAGGGAAGGAAGACATGGGAAAGACCTTCGCTAGCTAGAAGCTGGAGCCTGTTGACTGACTCTACATATAACTAAAAGAACGGTTTTGAGCCATTGTAACAATGCCTTTTTTCTTCATATAAAGTAATTAAGAGGGTGGTGACAAAGCAGTTGAATTTATTTTAGGAGGATCTTTCTATTTTTGTCTGAAGTATCAGTTTCTTGAAGAAACTGGCATTCTAACCAAATTGCATTAGGTTAATTATCTTTCATAACAAGTTGGAGAATCTTCGGTATCCCACTGATTTGGGATCATGTGTTGCTTTCAAGGTCCACTGCAGACATTGTGGCATTGAGGATGCTAATGGTACAATTAAGATTTTTTTACATGGTGTTCCTGCCCCGTATGACTGAGGTGCTGTGCACATATATGGAGGCAAATAGTAGGGTGGCACACGTGATGCTGTTGTCTGCTTCATAATTGTGTGCTAAGTTCATACACAAGTCTGATAGGCCTTAATATATAGAATTTCAGCTGACAAGGTACATGCGTGGTATCGCTGGGGTTTCACCAAATTAGTAAAGAGTAGATACGTTTTTTTAAAAAAATCCTAAATTCTGTTTGTTCCAGAAGGGAAATAACGATCCGTATAGCTCCTAAGGAAACTCATTTATGTTAGGTTCTAATGCCAGTTTCCCTATTGCATCTCATGGCAGATGCTGAAATTGGGCTAATTCATAATGACTCAAAACTTTGTTCTTAAACTATCATGATTTCTTTTGAGGGCCTGGAATTATAAATATATATATTTTAACTGTTATTAGTTGGAGAATATTTTGACTTGTTTCTTTGATACTTAAGGTTTTTTTGATTAACTTAAGTTTGCTTAATGCAGCCCATTGAGAATACACCCAAACTGGCCATAGCAGACAAACTTTGTGGGTTTTAACAGCTTTTCATTTTCTATGAAAAAATATAGAAATAAATGACCTGCATGTAAACTTTTTGATGTGATACAGGAACAAACAATTTTATTAAGTGACTTTTTAATTCCAAACTTTATTAAAAGACAGTTGTCCCCCTTTCTTGTTTTAGTCATCTTTATATAAAATATATTGGGCTCTACTATTTATAGATTTGTCATTTTTAAATGATGTCAGTACTTACATTTTCCTTCTATTTAATTCAAGAAACACACTCTTAAGAGATCATTCGGTAGAACTAAAGGTGCTAGTATGAGATAAGTCCTTTGAATGACTACATAACTTAGTGGCAGCTTCAACAGATACCTTTTGTGGAACGTGTACAAAGGAATGGCTGTTTGGTTGTGCAGAATGAAAAGCCAAAAGGAAGCCCTGTATATCCTTAATTAGATTCAGCCTGCTGTAACATTTAACTGGTATCGTGGAAATCTTTTTTTTATTTTTTATAAAGTGAACTTAAACCTGAAGTTCCATGTACATGTGATTAAAAAAAGACTGCATAACTTTATAAGTCCTTCTCAAATACCAACCATGAATGCTATTGCTGCTAAGAAAAACTAAGTCGTGAGTTTAAGAAGCTGTAATAGTAATTTGCAGTAATAGTTTTTGTAGTTTAACTTATGATTGCCTGCAAATCAGGGACATATGGGAAAATAATAATTGTATTTGCATTCATTTACCTACAGCAGGGGTGGGCAACCTACAGTCCTGGGATGGATCTGGCCCACAAGGCTCAGGACTTAGCATCTCCTACCCCGGCAGAGTTGCAGGCTGGTGTTGGCCCTCCTGCCATTACCGGCTGGCTCATGTTGCTGCAGAGGAGGTAGGTGAGGGCAAGCCCTGAGCTTTGTGGGCCCACTCAATGCAAGCCAGGGCCAGATTGGATCTGCGGGCTCTGCCTGTGGGAGGGAGGAAGTAGCTGTGCCAGGTAGGGGCCCCCAAGCCTTGCTTCTGCATTCTTCCTCCCAGCCAGATCCTCCCGCCCCACCCCCTCCCAGCCAGCTTTCCAGCAGCCACCTCAGCACACTGAAACTCTAATCTTTAGCCCCACCTCAGAAAGGAGGAGGGCTCGACAAAATCCATCAGCTCCCAGTCCCCAGAAGAGTTAATTTAGCCATGGAGGTAAGCACTAACCTGTCCTCCCCATGGGGCTGGAGCTTGAGGGAAGTGAAGGTTTTTTCTCAGTTGGGGCAATATCTGTGCAGGTTATTTCTCTCCTTTTCACTTGGGGAGGTCAGGTCAGTGAGGGTTGGCTTTTTTGTTTGTTTTTGCTTCTCATTTGTGTGTGGTCCGACTGATATTTCTGGGGATCAGTGGCCTCTGAACCCAATAGAGATTTCCCCACTCCCAGCTTACAGAATTATTGGAGGTACAAAATGAGTGGCTGACTCCATTTCAACATCAAGCCCCAATGGTGAATTAGACTTGTTTATTAAAACATGGAAATGTAGCACCTTTTGCTCACCTACCATGTTTTACAACAACACTAAAGGTATTGATACCAAGGAGATAGCAGTAGCTTGCTCCCTATACACTGAGATTGTAACCATGTTCAAACAATGAGTACCCCAAGCCCAAGCAAGGGCAAGTCTAAACCATGGTTTCTTAAAGATATAAACAAACACCACAAACTCTGTGCAGTTCAGTGAACTATGCTCAACTTATTTAAGCAGGCATTTTCTTAAATCACTTTTTAAATATTTTCTTAGTGTTAAGTTCTATACCTTCATCAATTATGGCTGAAGAAACCTAGATCTTGACAGATACAAGAATAACTAGTGCAGATTGTAACTGCCTTATTTCTTGGCAGCATTCTCCACGTTCTACCATCAGCAATAGCTTGCTACATGTTTCTATGTGTAATTAAATGTGTTGACAGTGATTCCTAAGCTGCATATGCCTTGAGTGCTGGCACAAGTCACCTTTCTTCCTTTGCTGAACTGCTGGTTTAAGTTCAGGTGGAGTTTTCCTAGTGAGCCTTTGGTATGAGAGGTGGGAGGGTAGGGACAGGGTATTCAGCAGCTTTCACTTCCCTCACTTATCCAGCTGAGTTAAGTGTCTTGTTTGTCTGTATATTTCAGTACCTCTCTCTTCTTTCAGGCTCTCTGTATATATGAAGAGAAGGAACCTACCTATTATATGGGAGTTTTACAACTCTTGCTATGTTACTTACATGGCCAGGACCTCTGCAGTATAGTTATTCTAACAGAAGTGCTCTTAAGTTAGTATGGATTCAAGATCTAATAAGGTTTTCCAAGGCTTTTTCTAATTTTTAGAATTTTTTAAAGTTAATTATGCATGTCAAAGACTTATTGAATTTTGGATTCCCCCCCTTAGCATGCATAGCAGTCTGAGTGGTAATTTGTAGTTATCATGCAAGAGCAGAAATATAAACCACAATGTTTTTCCTCTCAAACACTAAGATTTTTGGATAATCAAATAACTAATGATATCTGGAAAAAAAATCTTAAGCAGTGATGCTTTTGTAACCACCCCCCTTGATTTTCACTCCAAAATGTGTAATCAGCAGAGCTGAGAGTACTTATTGCCAAAGGGAAGGGGCTCTGGGTAAGAGTATGATGCTTACAGGTTGAACCTCTCTAGTTCAGCATCCTCAGGACCCCGCCAGACCACAGGAGGTCCATGTTGTCTAGCAGCATTACCAACACTTCCATTGCTTACTGGGCTCTTAGAAGACATTTAGGGGTGAAGTGGAGCTACATAACAGCACAGAGCCAGGAGCAGTGACTGTGAACAAACTTTATGGGCCTAAGGGAAACTTGGCCACACCTATGAAAAGTGGACATCTGGCTAACTCAAATCATGGGGGACCAGGGATGTTGCTAATCTACAGAGGTTCATCCTGTGCTAATATTGTATTTTTGGCAATGGGAGATACCACTGCAGTATGTGTATATATAAATGAATTAATATAAATTCATGATTATTACAGGAAGTATCCATTACTGAACTTGTTCCTAGAACTGTACATTCAATGAGCTTTTTTAAAACAGCACATATTAAAGCATTCTGTATGCTACTGTGTAACAAACTGTTTAGTAATTTAGAATGTTTAAACTTACTTTAAATGACATGAAGGGTCTGATGGTATTTTCCTTTAGCAGTTACGGGGCCTGTTTATCCCATCCCTCAGAGGGGGCCGACAACATAGTAGATTCATGGTTACATCATTCCACTTGTGCCCAAAAACCCAAGCGTCTGGCCTAGCTGCCAGAGTCAGTAGGGCTTCCTGGGGCTGCAGAAAACCACAGCCTAGTGGGCAGAGTCAAGGTTTTGCCACCCCTAATCCCAGGACAGTGTTGCTCAACTGGAGGCAAGGTATAGCAGTCCCCTATCAGAGGGCCATGTGGCCTAACGACCAATATCCTGGGATGGGGCTGCCACCAGACAGGAGGCAACATGGCAGGGACAGGCCAGCCAGGGCCCTAACCATGGCAGAGTGGTTTATCACTGGGTCAGCGGGGAATCCTATGGAAACTTGCTGTGTCTTGTGAGTGGGATATGCCCCTCATGCACCCTCCCTGGGTCACTTCCTACCATGCCTCTTGCTGATGGGATGCTCCGGGGTCTTGGAGCTCCTCTGGTGTCGGCTGTGCTCTCCTTAAGGCATCCATGGGGGCCTGCCTGGGGATCAGTCTCCAGCTCCCACTGTCCAGGTTCAAGGCTGATTCACAATGGGGGCAAACACTGCATGTCCTTCCTTCTCAGCAGCCAGGCCAGACTGAGCTGGGCTACTCCCTTTTATACTGTGGCAGTTTGAACATGCCCAACATGGAGCAGAGCTACCACATCCCCTTCTGCACCAATGTGGGGCTGATTTGCCTCATCACGGGTACAGAAATGAACCTGATCTTTAGCACTTTTCACTAGCGTTCCATTTACATCAGCAGTTACGTGTGCAAGCTGTGATTGTTCTATTGGAATTTGAGTTTAAATTGATGCTGAGAAGTTTACCTTACTGTTAACCCGGTCTGATGCTAATTATATGCTGTAAAAATAGAAGGTGCTGTTAGGATTCATATTTCTTATGAGAATTTCCATTGTGGTTGGTCATAACTAATTTCTTTTACTGTAAGCATTTGCATATGTGCTATTTCCACCTTAAAATTCAGCACGGACTGTTGCAGTTGTAGAACAGAAAGGCAGCAAAGGCCCAACATTTAGATGCAAATCTTAATCCTAAAGCTTTTGTAATATTAAAAAGCATGCCATGAAAGGTTGCATGGATTTAAGTCCTGCCTCAGTGTTTGCAACTTACTTCAAGAGCAAATGTTTAGTCATTCTCTAGCTTCCTTATTGTCTGCATTTCACTTTGAAAACAAACATCCTAAGCAATTTTTAGGAACAATGTTTAACACGGCATGGTGAAGGTCTGAGGTAGAGGAGCAAGCAGGGAAGGTAGTGGACTGAAGTACTTCAAATTTATTTTGTAACAGGAACGAGAAGTGTCACCCTTAGCTGCTTTTACAGCTTATACAAATTTAAGATTTTAAACTCAAAATAAAGTCTTGCTCATAAGTTAAACTGTATTATTGCATTGCTGGCTGATAAGGATAATTAAGCTAGGATCTTGTCAGGTAACAGTAGTAGCTTAATACAGCTATCGATAATGCCGCAGATAGATCAGTTTCTGAGGATGAAATTTCTCTCTGCATAATGGACACTCTGCCTACAAAAAGGAAAGATTAAATTAGCAAGTGTTAATGAGATACTTTAAAAAAATTGTCTAGATTCCTCCAAAGAAATGAATAACCCTACCGACTTAATGCTAAATCTTTCCTTCTGTCCAGTTTTCAGTGCAAGGTTAACTGTAAAAAGCACTATCTTCTGTTCAAATTAACTGCACCTAATTTAAATGACAATGTTTTGCTAGTACAGGATCTGACATTACCGAGCTTTATAATGCATGGTTAATGAACAAGCTGTACGTTACAGTGGCTCCTCAAGGTGAACCTTTATTAAGTGTGCAGACAGCGAAACCCTTCTTCAGATACTCATTGCTTCAAGGAAGAACACATGCAGGAGAACCTGGTCCAGGATGAGTCATGTTAAATGAAAATATTAGAAAAGCTAACATGTCATCTCCACACTTAACCCAAGGCAAGCCACAGGTAAGGTGGAAAATGGTCAGAATTCTCAGAGGGGTGCTATTGAAGGTTCTCTGATACAACTTGGAAGAGAAGAGGCCAGTGGTTTACACTGTCAGTTGACTCTCAGCTACAGACTGAAGTGATCCTTTCTGCTTCTATACTATGAAATAGATTTCTCAGTTTTCTAGGTCAAATGAAAGGCCCAGTTATTACCCAAGTTAGTCTTTTCCAACAAATTAAAGCATGATGTCATTTTTGGCTGTTCAGCTAGGTTGTAGGTCTCTAATTCCTAGCTAGGCAGGATCACATCTGCATTCCCTTTAGGGTCACATGAGAGAATCAGGTTATATTAAACA